AAAAGCCAGAAATGCAATCGCACGTGGGGCTGTGCAAATAATACAAACGGAAAAATGGACTGGCTAATGTGTGCAATGAGGGAATTAGCATAAAATGACCGTCAAGGTTAAAGGGGACGTATTTACAAATAATTTTACTGAGGACGGCAGTGAAGGGTCTGCTAGCTAAAACGAATGCTTTAAAAACAAGTAAGTTGGAGGAGAAGGCGGGTCCAAAGCAATCTTGGCAGATTCGAATCTGGTCCAATGGATATCGTCCTTGAAGATAGGCTTTAAGAAAATCGAGAATGAGGGGGGCCTATTTCCATTTCTTGTTCACTTTATTAGTAATCTTTCATAGGGGACTTTGTTAAAGGCCTTTGTTCGACCGAAGTATGTTTTAACTACCGTGTTTATATCATCCCTCTTGTCGTGAACGAATTCGAGAAAAGTGAGATGGCAGGACTAACATGACAACTTTTATAAAAATGCATATAGAGAGTAGGGAATGACGTCTCCCTTTAGGAGATGGTCGAAAAAATGGTTGTGAACTATTTTCTCGAGGATTTCAGCTATTGCCGACGTTCGGTGAACATGACGATAGCTTTAGGCATGAGATCGGTTGCCGATTTGAGAGGTAGGTGTAATGTTTGAGCACTTCGCAAAATCTGGAAAGGTTGTACTTGACTTGAGTAGAGAGAATAGCTTAGATTGCAGTATCTGAGCATATGTCATATGTTTCAGAAGGCATGGCTGCATTTCCTTCGTCCCATTAGAGTTGACGTTGGATAGTTTGTTTAATAGCAACTTCAGCAGTTCCTTCAGTAAAACGGATCTCACAAAAAATGCGTTCTGTTCTCTCGTTCGGTTGATGGATCGCTTCTCATTCGGTTGTGCAAATAGCTCAGAAGTATTTGTTCAAAAAGTTTCCTATCTGGTTGTCGTCTGTTATAACTTGCCGCGATTCATCAAACAGAGGTGGCGGTAAAACTGTCCTGTCATGCGAGATCAGTCTAAATGACCTTAATCTCTATTATCCGGGTTACGGGCTTGAGACTTGACACAAACTTTCCGTATGGTGCCTAGTTTGGACTGCGTCTGCGGTTTAATGGCCTTTTCCAACTGACCACTACCAATACCCTGTGGGGACGTCCCTTCAAACAACATGTACCTCAAGGGAGATTGGATGTGAGGAAGTATTTTTTTCCAACCATGTTTTGGATCTGAAGAAAAATTTGCTGGAGGGGGCGATTGTAATGTCTTAATTTGTAGAAATATTTAAACGTTGTCTAGACAACCATATGCTGCAAAAACAAGTAGATCATGTGACTGCGTAACAAAAAGAAAAACAGTGAGTAGTGTTAATCGAGGTCCACATTCACTTTATGTTGTAATTTCTTTCGATTTTATGTGACGAACAGCGCCCCCGAAGACGTAAGCCACTTGTCCTCAAATACACTGAACTGGACGCTTTGGTTACGCCTTCCATAGAGTATTTTGACAAATCGATATCTTGAAAGCTCCACCGTCGTATCCGATGATGCCTACCGTGTGCCTACAGCAGGCGATGGGAGTCGGGACGGTGACTTTGCTACTAGTGTTTGTAAGACTGTATGAAGCATGTGCAAATTATAAGAGTACCTACAACGATCGCCCAATCAATCTGCAATGTCGCATTATCTGTGACCATATGATATAATATTATCTGGAAACCTTTGATTAATTTTTTTTACTAAAGGTGTCACGCTCTTTACAAGCATCCATCTTTTTCAGTTACCAGTTCAAGTGCCTATAGCTGGCCATCCGGCAACACAAAAACACTATGTAATCTGATTCAAACAATAGTCGAGATAACTGGCAACGACCAATTACATATCGGCCGTAGACATTGCTGGGGTAGTATATACGGGACAACACGATGCATCAGCGATAAATCCTGGCTAAGAGAGAGCTAAACAAAGTTGTTGGACACGTCGTCATTGTCACTACCACAAGTAACCTCTCAGGACGTCCCTTCAGACTAGGCGTGAATCAAGGGAGATTGGATGGGAGGAATAATTTCTTTCCAACCATATTGTGGATATGAAGAATAATTTACCAGAGGAGGTTTTAATTTCTCAATCTGCAGAAATCTTTTAACGCCGTATTGACAAATGTGTGCTGCAAGTACAAGTGGACTGCGTAACCATAACAAACAGTGGCGATGTAAATCGAGGTCTAAATTCACGTTATATCGCAATTTCTTTACATTGTTATTAATTCCTTCGATTTTGTATGACGAACAGCGCCTTCGAAGACGTAAGCCAATTGCTCTCAAATACACTAAACTGGACACCTCGCTTACACCCTCTATGGAGTATCTTGGCAAATCGATATTTCGAGATTTCGACCAATGTATCCGACGATGTCCACCGTGTGCTCCACAGCAGGCGGTGGGAGCAGGGACGGTGACTTGCGCGGATGACTTTGCTTTTAAAGTATGTAAGACTGTTTGAAGGATGTGAAAAAGTATAAGATTATATGAAACGATCGGCTAGTCCATCTACAATATCATATTATCAGTGACAATATGATATACTACTATCTGGACACCTTTAATTAACTTTTGTTACTAAAGATTTCAGTCCAGGTGACTATAGCTAGCCATCCGGCAACACAAAAACACTATGCAATCGAATCCAAGCAATAGTCCGGAAAACGGGCAACGGATAATTACATAACGACTGTGGACGTTGCTAGGGTAGTAAATCCGGGACAATACGATGCATCAGTGATAAATCCTGGCTAAGAAAGGGCTTAACACAGTTGTTGGACGCGTCGTCATTGTCATCCATCCAAAGAGGAGGAAAGTTAACGGCACGAAAAATATGAGCTAGAAACAGGGAGTTTAATGCATGGAAAAGTGACGAATGATACAACGGCAAGGGAGGGTTTTCGCAGGAAAGACGATCCATCTGAATGGGAAGGTGATGCCTACGTGTTTGTTAAGCGACAAGTGGTTAATTCAGTGCTGAGCGAAACTGCAATGACGCGTGCTGGTGTGGAGCGTGGGTGGGGATATCGCACAACCACAGCCCTAGTTTAAACCCCAATTCACTACCATAACGGAAATCCTTACCACAGTCGTAAACCTTAGCCCAAACGTTTACCTTAATTCCCTACCCCAACCCTCACCATAACCCTTACCTCAACCAAACCATATGACTAGTTCCAGCAGAAAACTTTATTACAAATCAAACTCATGCCAAACATTAGCCCTTACCTCTATCTCAACCCCGACCACAATTCTCAAAATAACCCCAGTGCTAACAGAGTAAGAAATATGTGTGAATAAGTCCGTTTGAAATTACAAAAGCCAGCGCCATAGAAAATGAGTCTATATAATTCTAGGAAGACTCGCGGAAATAAACCAGAAAATCGTCTAAGAGGTATTGAAGTTAATGAAAAGGATGTCAGTATCCTTTAGATTCTCTCGATTCAGTGCTAGTTTCTTCACTGAACTCGACGCACCTGTGGTCAGAGGCTGTGTCAGAAGACAGTCGACATAAATTCGATATACTTTGCGATTATATAAGAATAAACAAAGACATCACTCGAGCATGATAGTGCTGAATAAGGTTGGGAGTGAACTGAAAAATGGACACACATTACAGGTGATTAGACGAGCAGTCAACGAATGACGCTTACGCGTGCTGGTCATTCTAAAGGCAAACGACAACACAGATCAATGAACATGGACAGAGAACAATAAACTTAGAATGACGAGAACAGACGAATAGGGCTACCGGAGCAATGGATGCGGGGTATGAGCGAAGTCTCGTACTCATAAATATTTAGCAGCAAGACAAAACAGGAATACAAAATTGACATCTGGGATGTCACAGAGTGTTAGGGGCTTAGGGCTAGGGTTGGGGTTGGTGGTCAGGATTAGAGATAAGGTTAGGGATTAGAACCAGGGTTACGGTCTGGTTAGGTAAAAACCTAGGTTTGGGGGTTTTGTTTAGGTGCTAGGGTTGGGGTTATGTTTATGAATTAGGGTTAGTGTGAGGACTGAGGTTAGAGATGAGGGCTGGATGTGACGGAGAGGATTGGGCTCAGGGTGCGGGTTGGAGTTAGAGAGAAGCCCTATTGATTAGAACTTTGTTCAGGCGTTAGAGAAAGTGTTTGGTTTAAGAGTTAGAGGTGGGTTTAAGTTTTATGTTAGGGTTAGATAAGGGTGTAGTGGGCAGCCATCATGATCGGTTTGGCGTCATTGTTCAAGGCCTCGCTGCCTCGAGGTCATTTACCCCTTGCAACGAGCCGT